TCTTCCATTTTATTTCTTGAAACTTGTGGTCATAATTATGTCATAACATTTTTGTGGCTGTAAGACTTATTGAAACTTTTGGTCTTAAACATGTCATAACATTTGTGTGGCTATAAAAGCTTATCATTAAAGTAAAAATGGGAAATTCAAGTTAAGTTGTTTTCAGATTTAGAAAGGTTTCATTTTTTTGGATCAGACTAATAGGGAAATAATGTTGTTCTTTTTATAATGGAGGGAGTAACAATTATTGAGCACTAAGAAACAAAAAATTGAACATGTTTTAAACTTGTGTCCTTTTAGTTTACCTAGTTTTCTCGAGTCACTTTGTACATATTATCTTGATTTAGTTACTACACTAGTATTGGCAATACACTCAAGTTGTGAATGCTAGAAAAGCAATAGTTGGCGATAATGCTAGTCTTGTGACATATTTAAGTGTAGGGCACAAGCCTAATAGGCTTGGGCTCCATTTATTTGCATTAAGATTAAGACATCTAAATGATTAAGATGTTTTTTCTAGATCTGAAAACTAAATGATTAAAACGGTTTGTTTTTCAACTTTTGAATGTACATAATTTATTTATTTTTAAACATAATAAATATATAATTCAAATTTAAAAAAAAGTAATTAAATATAATAAAATATAAATTTAATACAATAAAATCATTATTTGATTAATAAAAATAAACGGTGGTGGCAGTGACAGTGGAGGTGGTAAGTGTGGTAACGACTTATCGTAGTGGTGGTTGTGATGACAAAGGTAATTGGTGGGAAGGTGGTGGCTGGTGGTTGTGGTGTGGATAGAGTGGTGGTGAAAAGTATTCACATAAAAATGCCTCTCAATGCTATTAACACTTTGTTTAAGATCTTAATGATTAAGACCTATTTAGACCAAGTGCTTAAATCTCAATGTAAATTAGTGCACTTAACATATGAACCATTCAAATCTAGCCCCCCATTAAGTGCAAACAAATAAGGCCTAGTCTATCAAGAATGTAAAGCACTTGTGTGTTTCTCAATTTTGCAGGTCGTGACATTGGAGTTAATCTTCCTATTCTACTGAATGCTATAGTTGCAGAGCTTCCTTTGAATGGAAGTACAATGCTCCGAATTGGGATGACCAATCCTCCTTATATTCTTGAGCACTTGAAGGAAATAGCTGATGTCTTATGTCATCCATGTGTGTATTCTTTTCTTCATGTGCCAGTTCAGTCGGGTAGTGATTCAATCTTGAGTGTAAGTTTGAATTACATAATATTAATTGACATTAACTTTCTTTTTGCTTTTGGACAACCCTTGTGAAATAGGCCCTATGCTCGCTCGCTCTCGTTAAGTAATGTTATCTCCAGAAAATTGTTTATCATAAATCTCTCTTTTCTCTGTTCGTCAATTTCAGGCAATGAACCGTGAATACACTGTGGGTGAGTTCAGGAAAGTGGTGGATACATTAATGGAACTGGTCCCTGGGATGCAGATTGCAACAGATATAATTTGTGGATTTCCTGGTATGTCTGCACATCTTGCTGCCTAGTAAGAAGTTGTCAAATGAGTATGTAGACTTGATTTTTGTCTGCACAAGTTAGAAGCTATTTGCTTGGACTCTCTAAAAATGTTGCCGTACCCGTGGCAGATCATCCAAAAATTCGATATTGGAGGATCCAACACGCACTCGCCCACATTTAGTCCGAGCAACATAGGTTAGAAGCTTAGTCTTCCACTCTACGAACTCCCAAGTCCCCTCCCCGTTGGAATCAATTAAACTGAAGCATGATTTTAGAATAGGATTTTTTTTTCTGAACAAGGAAATGAAACAGTTCTGTTTCTCCTTTTATTAAAAAAAAAAGGTTGATTTATAATCCTCATAACTACTGTAAAAAGGGTAAATTATTCCATTTGTTTGTTTTTTGCTCATATTCTATTGTCAGATATTCTAAAGTAACAAAATTGGCAGTTGCTTTACTGCTCATTGTGTTAGAACCACTCTTCAGACTTCCGGTCTGAAATATTCTGCAATATTTTGATTTTATTATGATTTTGCCAAATCATCAAGAGTTTAGCCTTGGACCAAGATTTGTTTTGATCAATTCTGCTGCTGGAAAGACCTTGCACCAAGCGTGATGATCTGTCCTTGCATTGCAGGTGAAACTGATGAAGATTTTGCTCAGACAGTTGACCTTATTAAGGACTACAAGCTTGCTCAAGTTCATATATCACAGTTCTATCCTAGGCCCGGTATGCTGTTTTTCAGTTTTTCAATTGTTATTTGTCTAGATATACCATTCTGGAAAATAAAGGAAAAAAGATTTCCTGTTTCTCTTTATCCACTCTGAAAAGAACTATAGCAAAAAGCTCTAGTTATTGCATCTACAAGTGAGGGATGTGAAGCTTTATTTAGTGGTACATCCTGTGATGCATGGATTTCAAATTTCTCAATTACTTGCTTGCTATCAGGTTATATGCAATAATTTGGAACTAAATGCACTTATACAGACATATCCAGTCATCTATTGTCATAGACTGATATTCAATAACCTGCTTAATGGATTAAATTGGTACTTCTGTTTACTTCAAATCTATGTCAGGCACTCCTGCTGCAAGGATGAAGAAGGTTCCTAGTAATGTGGTGAAGCAACGTAGTCGTGAATTAACTGCTGTATTTGAGTCCTTTACTCCATATACTGGAGTGGAAGGCAAAGTAGAGAGGATATGGATTACTGACATAGCTTCAGATGGGATTCATTTGGTAAGCATGATAGAGAGCTAGATATCTGATAACTGCTACTGTTTCATAATTGCTGTTTCGACTCTTCTAAAGCTTCAACTATCTAGATGCAGTTTTTTGCTGGGACATGATGGGTTTCCTATATTCTAAGTAAATTCATTTATTTTAAAGTATAATAGTTGGTGGAAGTTTATGAAACACAAATTAGTCTTTATAAGATCAACCAGCAAAGACAAACTCTGATCATACACATGCTTCAAATCTCCTACTCTTACTTCCATCTGTGTGTGACAAGCAAGTAAATTTCCCTACAAAAAAAATCAATATTGCTCAAATTCCTATATGCATTTCATAATACTTGCTGCATTTCATTTCCTGAATGACCATCGCATGATGTTGCATGTTAAGATGCAAATAGCTTCATCCCCATGAGCAACTCTTGTTTCCCCTCAATGGTCTAGGTGGGACACACTAAGGGATACATTCAGGTCCTGGTGATTGGTCCAGAAAGCATGATGGGTTCCTCCGCTATGGTGAAAATAACATCCGTAGGTAGATGGTCAGTCTTTGGAGAAGTGATTGAGATCCTCTTCCAAAATAACGAGGATGTTCCCTCACACAGGAGTTTTGATGAAAGGTGCTCCCCATGCGCCCTTTCAGAAGAAGATTGTGCCTGTTCAAAAGAGCAAGAACCTTGCTCTGCAACATCTGATTGCTGCAATCAAAGTCCAACTCGGGAAGCAACAACACTGCTGAAGAATGACCCTAATCAAGATAATCATAGCAGCAGAAACTTAATTGGATGGTTTCTGAGGAATCGTAAGAATCAGTCTTCCAAAAAGATGGACTTAACTAGATCAGAGTCTAAGGAGAAGCAGATACAGGATTTAAGTCACCGAAGCGCTTGGAGTCTTGTTGATATAGCTCTACTTAGTGGAATATTATTGAGCTTGTTCACAATAGTAGCTCTATTTTTGAATCTTGGATCAAGGAGTTTGTCATCCAAGTAAATCATTTTTGTATCTTCAATTACTTTTTTCTGTAAGTCACAAAGTTGAGGGCAGATGCGCTCTTGCAAGAGTTTGACATTGTGGTTTGTTTTTATGACAGTAATGTGATGGATTTTGTGTCAACCATGTGCTATACACACTTAGCTGTAATAGTAATTCCTCTGCTGTTTTTTCTCTTGTAACCAGAAAAAAAAAAGTAATTTGAGAATTAAAGATGGGAACACTATTCTAATCAGCTTTGAATCTGCAATTCCTTTTTACATCTAAACAGATACAAACAACCATATTCTACAACCTCATAGATTGATTACAATATCAACCAAGAAAATAAACAAAGACTTGTTATCTAATACAGGAGCTTGAAGAATGTGGAACGTGCATTATGTAAGTATGGATTGTGGGGTGTGGGGAAACAAGGAAAACTGCTCTTCCATTTTGGTCTTGTGTAGCAGCCTTTTATCCCCACTTATTCACTGAACCCATCTCTCTATTTTACAACTTGAATACATAGATAAGGTGAAAATTTACCAGCATCTTACAAAAGCATATCAGACTTGGATGGTAATCTCTTGAAGAAGTTGACAGGTACTGATGGTAGCTTGCTCCTGAATCGTGGATGGCGCAACCAGTAAAGTCCTATGAGCACTGCAACTACTTGGAATGGAGTAACATATAGAAACACAGCCCAGATCAATGCAAGGATTATAAATATAGCAGTAGCCCTTGGATCCCGCCAGCTTAGTATGGAAAGAGCCCTTTCACCTTGTGTTGCCAAATCTCCAACTACAGTTTGCACCCTCCCGGCCACACTCCTCAGTCGATCATACCTCATTCTTATAACGTCTGTTTGCCGGGAAGTAGGGAATGTATCAAATTCTTCATCCAGTTCATCTGGGTGAGCATTTTCAGCTTGCGAAAGGCGAGCATCCATGTGGGGTGGAGCTCTAGGCCTAAACCTGTAGTTCCACAAGCCAATTACAAACAGGTACAGGAAAATTGTTGGCAAAATGAGTTCTGGATAGCAAATCAATATCAAGAAGAGCACATGGACAAGGATAGTCGTCAAAGGGTTTCTCCAATTGCAAATCCCATTAAACCATCCATGAACTGCCGAAATCCCAGAAAGCAGCCCCATTATGCGAAAGAAATTAGCTTTGCTTCTTCTGAGGCTGAACATATGGTAATCCACATCCAGCATATACTCAACAACCTCCCTTCTAAGAGGTGGCTCAGCCCTGGCCAGCCTTGCAGCTACTATCTGCATTGCCTGGTGGCGCAACCAATCAATATGCCTAACGGAAATGGGTTGCACATAATGCATTTTCGGGAGCAATGGCTTCCCATATTGTGCTACCATGTTCACCCAAGCAGTACAAGTGAACCTTATGGCCAAATGAAGCTCTCCATGTTTCCTTAAACCAGAAGGTGTAAGAACCAGCAATGGATAAAAATGTGTATAGATCCGATCAGTTTCCAAAGTCGATAATCTAACTCTCACCTTACCAATTCTCTGATCTCTAGCTTCATCTTTGCCATTGATGTGACAATTGTCAAAGACCCCAATGGTGACAACGGTACACGGATCAAACACTTCCCAAGAGAACTGTTCGTTCCATCGAGGAGCCAGAGTGTCAATGAGTGTTCTTGTTCGAACCCATTTATTCCCATACTTAGCAACACAATATGAATCTGTAATTCGACCCTCTTTACTCTTCATTGGCATCAGATTCTTGGCACTGAGAATACCTAATTCAAGAAGTCCAATACTCGGCTTTCTCAAGAACTTTGATGATGGTTGAAGATCACTGCTAGAATGTGTAGACTCATCAAGAACATGGTAACCAGCATCTATCCAAATTCTAAGGTGAATCTTGCTAGAGAACTTCACTTCTTTCTTCTTCTCGTCATCATCTGCCGCATGAGAAGGCTTGAGAAGATTGAACCATATAGCATCTGGTAGCTTAGAGATATCAACTCTGGTTGGAATATTTTTAAATGATATCATAGCCCTGCCAATCAATTCATCTTTTCCCGGTCCAACTCTATCCACGACATCTATTATCAAATACTCCTCAAAAGGCTCAGATGCAACAAACATTAGCTCCTCATTCCACACCGGATTAATGTGTCTCATAGGTGAGGGCTTGGTAGTCCTTACTTGGTGCCCAAGCTGTAACTTGGCATAAGCCTCGGGCATCCGGCTTCTATCTGATGGCAGAAGATCCTGAGCTTCAATAACATGAACTCTTAGGTAATACAATTTAGGTGAGAAATATACTTTGGATCGCGTATTAACCAAATTTTGTTGACTAGCCATATGAGCATCAGAATGCCAAGCCTCAGGAAAAGCCTCATCAGCTTGAGTTCCCATCCAAACAGCAAGCATGATTTCACCTTGTGGAATCTTCTCTCCTTTCTTATTGATCAACCTGTACCATTGTGGAGCTAAAGGACTATCTGGTGGAACACGAAGAGGGACTTCAGCAATATCAAACATAACTTTGCCAACAATATCATCTTTCCCAAAATCCTTATCTTTTACAGTAACTTCAATCAAATTAGATTGCAGTCTTTCTTTAGAGAAGGCAAAAACACTGTTCCATACAGGGTATTGATTCTTTTCATAATGCCTTGTAACACCTTTGTAATTACCAAGTTTCACCTCAACATAAGGATCAAGACTCCCTGATATATCCATAACTGGAAGATCCCTAGCTTTAACAACATTAATATACAAGAAATGCATTGGTTCCACCAAATCATAAGTACTAGCAGTTTTATCTCTACCCCAATACCCCATTCTTGCAGCCAAAGGTGGCCTTGTTTCCACTAAACCAAATTCAGGCCTTGGACCACCACCCATTTGCATCTGCATTACATTGCTAGCCATTGGTCCACCAGCCTTTGCAAAATCAGCCCTTTTCTCTATCACCACCGGAGGTGGTGATAGACCAGACGCCGGCACCGGCACCGGCACCGGCGCCGGTGCAGGAATAGAATGAAAAGTTCTTACCTCTGGTTCTTTCTTCTTCTTCTTATCCTTCTTCTTGATTTCAGCGTCCTTCATGTACTGTTCTTCAAAGTTGTTGGTGTTAATTTCTTGAAATAGAGTAAAAGGGGTTGCTCTATCTTCACCATTATTCACATTCTGCTGCTCAGTTTCCACCGTCACCGACGGCGGAATGACATTACCACCACCACCAAGAACATCAGCAACACCACCACCAAGAACAGCATAGATTCTTAAAGCAATATCCCCTTTGATATGTGAAAAGATTCCTCTTTTATCAAGTGGGTATCTCTGAACTAAAGCTTCAGAATCAGAAAACGGGATAAAAGCACCAGAAATCTTAACACGACCAAGAAAATTCTTGTGGTGTCCCTGTTTTTGGTCATTATAAACATAAACAGAAATTGTCTGATTTTCAAGGTCTCTTGGATTCTTGATGTTGAAAACAAGTTTTTCATTCCATTGAGGGTTGAGATCTTTGTTTTTAGTTTGAGTTCTTTGACGTTGCTCATCAAAATCTACTTCAACAAAAGGACTTGCTGAACCTTGTCCATCTTTAGGCATCAGATCACTTGCATCAAGAACTTCTGCAATTAACTTAGCCATTGAAGATAATCAAGAAACTATAGACAGAAAAAAAAAGTGTTGTTTTTTGAGGCCAAGTAGGTGTATAGAGTAGAATTGAAGAAAAATGGAGAATGATGGAGAAGAAGGGTAGGCGGTGAAGGAGATATTGCAGTGGGGGTTGGGGTAGGGGCCTAGGAATTAGAGTGTTAAATTTTGGTGGAAAGTGGAAGGGGTGGGGAGGGGGCCCTATCAAAGTGTTTGGTGTTTGTAGTATATCTCTCTGATTCAAAATAGTGACACACACACAAACACAAACAAAAGAAGAAAAAAAAAGCAAAAAGTATATGCAAGGGTAGTTTCTTGGAAGTCATTTTTGGGGTTTATAAGGAAACTTAAGATTAACTAAATGGCAATTCTAATTTGGAAGTTAAAAAGTTCAATGTTTTTGATACCCTAATCAAAATACTACTAATATTTATTTACACAAGTAAAGATAACAGATAATAATAGCTATACAAATATACTTTGATGTAGAAAATATAAAATGATTAATTCAATTAAGATCAAAACTTTAGGATTATATTTTTTAGGTTTAAATTATTTTAAACTATAATTTATGTAATACTCTATTAATGTCAATCAAAACTTGTTTATTTATATAGATAATAGAGAATTTTTCGGACGTTTATATTACTTGACCCTCATTCTAAGAAGAGCAACTTTCACATATATCAAACATAAAAATCATTATTTGTATGTTATAGCTATAGTTTGCATAATTGTGCTCCATAGCAAATTTTATGTTTGCTATGGAGCTTTTGATTTGTATAATTCGCTAGATACATCCAGTTTTATACAAATTGTTCAGTTTTGTATAAATTCATTTATACATTGTAATTTGTATAATAAGATCTATATTTGTATAATTATAAGTGTATAGGACGAAAATATATGTATTTGTATTTGTATATACACTTTTCTCTAGTTTTATACAAACACAAACACATTTTATACATTCTATACATTTGTATACCGAAAATGGCTAATTGTATACCAAATCAGATGGC